GAGAGAAAGTCCTAGATTAGCAGAACAAGTTCAAACTAGAGCTCTGAACTAGTTCAATTCTCTCCCTCTCTCTCTTTTTAATTCTTATTTTACACTAGTTTACGTACAAAGTTCATATACATTTTTTTCTCTCACTGAGCCCTCCCCTTTCCTTTACCATCCCTCCCTCCACCCATCAAATTGCGTGACCCTGTATTTTAGCCATCCCCCCAGATCCTCTTTCATGCTTGACAACAATGGTCCTATACAGTATTTGTCTGTATGAGGCTGACTGAGTTCACTGAGCAATTATTTCTTTCTAAGTGTAATAGACCAGACTCAAGGTTTTTTGTGAGTTTATGTATGTGTGTTTTCTGAATGTATTTAATTATATTCCATTGTATAAGCATACATTAATTGTATCTACATTGTTAAGATTTCCTCTTTTTCTCAGACTCAAGTTTTAAAAAAATTAGGTGAAGCAGAATGCTAACTGGAAGGGGAAAATATACAGGTGAAAAGTCTGGAATGGGAGACTTGGAAGCAGCAGAGTTAGTCCTTTCATGACTAAATTATAACCAGGACCATGGAGAGCAATCAAGGCTTTAACACCATCTTTGAGCGGGGCACCACCGTGTCAGACTCTGTTGGTCACGATTTGGCTCCTGTGCAACATACGCCCCCTTGTTTTCTAAAAAGGAGATTCCGTTTCCGGCAGGGCATCAACCCGTGAAGTTTTTCCCCTTTTGGTTACTGTTCTGGCTCACCCACAGTTTATAAATCCAGGTCTATTCTGGTTTCACGTCACGGGCCGTGACTTTTGAGTTCAGTGATGGCCAAGGAGATGTCATGAAAGCATGACTGATGTTCCCTACAGGACGGCAGCTGCATTGCTGGAGAAAAGTAGAGGGTGCACTAAAGGGGTTTTTATTTCCTTTTAAAAATTAACGTTGCTGTCAGGTGCCACTGAGTTCACGCTAACTCATAACAATGCAACAAACAGCAGATCTGAACCTCTCCCTCTCCTGCCTTGTTGAGCGCGTTACAGTAACGGTGTCAATCCATCTTGTTGGGGGTCTTCCTCTGGTTCCCCACCTTTCTGAGCACGATGGCTTATTCAAGGGCTGGCCTCTCCTGCTACATGTGAGGCAGAGTTTCACCCTCCTTGTCTCTAGAAAGCACCCTGGTCTTCGAAGGTAGACTTGTTTGTTCTTGTGGTGGCCCACGGGATGTCACCACAACTCACAGGCATCGCTTCTTCCTTGGTCAACCTTGTCCAAGATGCTTGGGCTGCACTATTCACTGTTCTTTTCTCTGTCCTCTCTTCACTGCTGCCGAGTTGTAACCAATCATAGGTGACCCTCTAGCAGGTTTTCAGAGCCTCTAAATTTCATGGAAGGAAACTGTCCCTCTTTCTCTCATGGAGCAATTGGTGGATTTGAACAGTACAACGTCTTACCCTGTAGGTTATGAGGGCTCCCTCCCCACCCCTGCCTTTTTTTTAACCTACAGTGAGCTGTGGTAACCTGTTGGCAAGAAGCTGTGCTGCAATCTCAGAGGCAAGCAGTTCAAGGCCATGAGCTGCTCCGTGGGATTAAGGACGGGCAGTCTCCTCGTGTGCGATTAACTGCCTCTGAAAACCCATCAGAGGGTCAGCGATGGGTCGATTCCAACTTGATAGTACACAACAACAACAAATGGGTGTGTTAAAGTGTTAAAGTCTCGTTTTCATATAGAATTGAATTGAGTTTGGTGGTTCAGTTTTGCTATTGGTGTCTGGAGACCCAGCACCGGCCACCTGTAACATGACGTGCACCACGTCACAGCAGACTTGAAGGCCTGGCATCTGTATGTCTCGCAGAGACACAGCTGAGTGGATGTCCACGTAGCCTGGCAGGAAAGGGTCCTTCAATACCTGCTGTGGGCACGTTTCCTCTCTGCAGCCAGAGTCCAGCTCACGGGTCCAGGGGTGACCATGGGACGTCAGCTGAGGGGATTAGAGTCTCCATCTCTTGAGTCTCTGGCCCCAAAGTGCCAAGAGGTTACTTGAGTCCTTTGATGGACTCATGGTGACCATACAGATAACAGAGCAGAGTGGTGTCCCACAGGGCTTCACAGCGGTGATCCTTCAGAGGCAGACCGCCAGGCCTGTCTTCCGAGGCACCTCTGTGTGGGTTCAAACTGCCAACTTCTCAGCTTGTAGCTGAGTGTGTAACTGAGCCACCCGGAGATTCTGCAGAACCCCTCTGTTCACGATGTGCTGAGGACCACCAGAAGAAGGACGGGAGGGGAGTGCGTGGAAGCTTGGGTTCAAGAGGGGTTCCAGTTCCTGCTTCTTGTTCCAGTGACACCTTCTGTCCTGGGGCCCCAGGAGAGACTGTGCTAATAATCTGATCATTAAGGTGCCCAGGTATGAGGTAAATTTCAGAGACAATCTGTTAATGGATAGGTCGTGTCTGCTGTTTTAAGACCTGGTCTTCTCTGATACCCACTGTTTACCAAAGCCCTTCAGAGACAGAGCACAGTGACCAAGGTGAAGCCGCACACGTCGGAAACAGGGGAGGCCTCCCTGCTCACACGCTTTCACGTGAAGGATCTATTCCAAACATGGTAAGGTCTAGTCTCTCAGAACCCAAGCTACACTACGGTGATAAGAAACGGCCTCGGAAGCTCCAACAGCGTCTGCAGAACGCCGGGTTACCAAGGGCCAAATTAATGAGATCTGTGTCCTCTGACCAGCCACTTCCCCACGGCTGGTGAGGATTTCTACCAGGAGAGGAAGAGCGAAGGCCCACAGCCCTCTACGCTGCATGTGGCTCCCACACAGAGAGAAATGCTGAGCAAACTGGCAGGGTGAACTTGGAGCAGAAATTTACACAGGGCCGACAACGCCAATTTTGAGAAGGAAAAAAACTTCTGTTTACCCATTGATGACGCCATTGGAATAGCCCAGGTGTTCGGCGAAAGATTCCTATGGAAGAGAGCAGAAAAAAAAAAAGGAACAAAATATTAGCCCAATGATTACTCTTCTTTTTCTTTTGGATTTATCCAATTATGGTCCAAGGCAACAATAAACAGACAAGTACACTTTAGCTACACAATAAAGTAAACTCTTGTTACAGAACGAACTGCATCTTTGAACTTGGACTCCGTTCCATGGGAAGCCGGTTAGCAGGTGAATGTGTCAGGCCCTGCACACACCAGGTCTCCACAGTGACAGGTCTGCTGTCACTTCACTCACGACCTAGACTTTTCTGCCAGGTCCTCTCCCCGGTGGACAGGAAGGTGACAGCCGTGCTGGGCATTTTGCTATTCACCCTCCGTGGTGGGACAGACCCACTGCCATGAACTGATTCCCACCCACAGAGCCCCTGCAGGACAGATCAGAACTGCTCCAGATGGCTTCTGTGGCTGTAAATATATTTTTTTTAATTTTAATTTAATTTTACTTTGTTGTGGTTGTTGTTACGTGCCATCGAGTCGTTTGCGACTCATAGCGACCCTATGTACAACAGCCCTAAACTCTGCTCTGTCCTGTGCCAATCTCATTGCCTCTGACACACCCACTTTGTTTTATTTTAATTTTTTTTGTGTGTGTGTACCATCAAATAGGATCTAATTGGTATAGGAGGAGGCTGTCCCTTCTTCTCCAGCAGAGCATCTGGTGGATTTGAACCGCATACCTCTGGGACTACAGTGCAGCTTCCTGCCACCAGGCCACCAGCACTCCCTGTGACTGTAAATCTTTTTTTTTTCTATAATTATATTTTATTAATTTTCATAAACATTTACAGAGATTTTGGGCTTCCACTCATTGTTGCACTATTCTCTCTACCCTCCTCCCAGTTTGTTCTTGTCCAAATGCCACAGTGCTTGTCAAAGCCAGTTCTGATCAATCTTCTTTGTCAGTGTATCCTTTGCCATTCCCTATCACTCCTCCCTGAGAGAGACTTCACCCTGAGTCATAAGGAAAAGGGGACGGCGTATTCTCTTAGCTACTTCCTGCTGAAAAGGGACGCTGTGGGTTTCAGGGTGAAGATCTTCTCTCACTACTCTAAAGGGCCCCTTTGGCAGTAGGAAACACATAGACTATTATGGAGATTGATTTTGGAATTCAGATGCACTCTTATTGATTGTGCTTGGCCATACATGTTCATATCCTTGAAGATGTATCATGGGGGTGTTGCAACCTAGAAGGCACAAATTTGACTAACAAGTTATAAGTACATGAGTCCAAAAATTATGGAAAAGTAAAAGAAAAGATTCTTTCATTGTTTTACAAACCCTCCCCCAGGTCCCCTCCACCATGCAGCCCTCGCTCTAGTCTCCTGTGATGACAGAAATACCCAGTTACATGTCTCTTTTAAACGGTTCTCTCCCTCCTCTGTTTCAGTGCAGTACACATTATTGAACCCATCTTACTCAGTCTCTCCCCAACCCCAAGGACAGTCCCATTCTACAACAGTGGCATCATGTAATATTTGTCCTTTTGTGACTGGGATATTTCACTCAGCATAATGTTCTCCAGAGTCAACCATTTTGAATAACATTGCATGAGTTCCTTGTTTTTTAATGCAGCATAGTATTCCATTGTGCGAATATACCACAGCTTCTCTAGCCATTCGTTTGTTGATGGGCACTTAGGTTGTTTCCAACTCCTTGCTATTGTGAACAAAGCTGCAATAAACATGGGTGTGCATGACTGTAAATCTTTAAGGGAGCAGATGCCCATCTCTCTTCCACGATCACCTGTGGTGAGCTCAAAACAATGACGGTTCATACAGCAGCCAAATGCTCAACTCCCTGAGCCACAGAGCTCCTTAGGTTTACTCTAGTCACGGCAGGGGTGTCGAACACACAGGTACCTAACGTGGGTGCTAAGCAATAACAATTAATGTTGTCGTTGTTACGTTCCATTGGGTCATAGCTGACCCTCCAGAGGGTTTTCAGAGGCTGTAAGTGGCACAGGAGGAGACTGCCCATCTTTCTCCTACAAACCAATACTAAAAAGGGGCAAGAAAGGAAAATTTCAGCTCCTTTTTTTAACTCTATGATTATTGTTTTAATTTTCTAGAAACTTCTATGTGGAAAAAAAAAATTGGTGTAGAAAACAGAGACCTGCACATTGCGCAAGGGAAGCAGGTCTGGCTCTGAGAGCCGTCATCACAGTGGAGCGTGAGGCCGTGGGTGGTCCTCATGCCTGCTGTGGTGAGCGGCCGTCACCTCAGGACCCTCGCGTGCACCCTGCTCACCTGCAGCAAGCAGGGCAGGTCCCCACCCCGCTCTCAGGATGCTGCTGCTTGAGGATAAAGGCCTGGGTTTACACCATCTCAGAAGGAGGAAGCCCCCGTCCAGCTAGTCGACATCCGCTGGAATCTTCTCCAGAAAAACAACAACGCTTCCTGAACTTCCTCCTCTCCAACAGGCACAGAGACGTCATTTCAATTCTTCACCGCCTCTTCCCGAGGAAGCCGGCTGTACCTGCCATTACCTTCCATCTCAGAGCAACCACCCATAACGAGGCAATTCACAGCACAAGCCCCCAGCACCAGCCACCCCTTCTGACACTTTCTCATGACTTGACACTGTAGTGTTTCCAGGGCTGATACCACCGACCCACAGGCAGACAGACAGAAGCGTCTAGTCTTTTCATTCTGCCTCTCGGGCCACGGGCAGGCAGGCTCAGCCTCCATGCCCTGGGTTCATGTCCCATGTCGCTTTGTGTCTTCTGATAACCATTCGTGGTATTAAAAGGAATCCTGGTCACCTGGTGAGCTGCTAACCAAAAGGTGGGCTGTTCAAATCCAGCAGGTGCTCTCAGGGAGAAAGACGGGCAAATCCCCTCAAGAGCCACAGTCCTAAGACCTCAATGAGGCGGCTGGGAGTCAGAACGGACCTGATGGCAGGAGGGCTGGTGACTCAGTCAGTGAAATGTCAGGCTGCTGAGAGGCGAGTGGCCGTAACCCACGGGAGAAAGGGGAGGCCGTGCTCCCACTAAGGTCTCCAGCCTGGTAAACCCAGTGGAGGGCTGTCGGGAGTCAAGGTCAAGTTGAACACGCTCTCTCTGCTGCGGTGGCTGAACGAGCTCATAGCTGACTGTCTACTGGGTTTCCAAGGTTGGACGTCAGCCAGGAGGTGGCTGTCCGTCTTTGTCCTGAGGGGTCTCTGATGGATTTGAACCACCAGAGAGATGTGGTCTTTAGCAGATGAACCCTTTACGGACCAGGCCATCGGACCCAACAGCAGCTGGGCAGGATTCGAGGGGCCAGGATTAGAACACAGGGACTCACCTCAATGTGCTGGAACATATAAGGGTGGTTGCAGATTTTTCTGAGCTGCATAATGGTGTTCATGAGAGTCTTGGCTCCTCCTTTCCCCTAAGAACAGGCAGGGAGAAAAACACAGGGCAAGTCCATCTGTGAACAGGCACTGCCAGTCTCTCAGGGCTGGGCCTCGATGGGTGGGCAGTGGGTCACAGGTACGTCCAGGAGCCTGTGTGGCCTGGTGGGCACAGCAGCTGCAAACCAGGCTGGGCTTTCCAGTTAGACACCCGTGCCCCTGGCGTGCAGCTGTCTACGGAAGCTGAGCCCTCAGCGGACGACAGCAGATCTGTGGCTCTGAGGCCCAGCTATCTGCTTCTAGGCTTCCGAGAACAGAGAGATCAGCCCAGATGCCCAGGATATGAGAGTGACTTTTCAAACCTTCTTGGTACAGTTTCTTCAGAAGTGACACGAGCAACGCTAACTCTTGGGGTGACGTGGAAGCTCGCCCTTCCTCCCCGCCCTCTCCGCCTGGTCTGTGTGTAGGGTGTGAGAGGTTTCTGCAGGCAGCAACCACAGCCATACAACTGGCAGACCCCATTTCTACCGGGTTCCAGGATATCTGTGCTGGACAGTATCTGTATTTTTTCCACAAACCGAAGGTTTACGGCAGCCCGGAACTGGGCAGGGCCATCAGTCCCCTTTAACCAGCAGCCTGGGCTGAGCCTGTTTGTTTCGTCTGGTCATGCTAAAAATGTTTACAATGTGCTCAGCACGCACACGTCAGACTATGGAAAAGCATCAATATAACTTCTAGGCGCACTGGAAAGCCACAGGAAATACCTCTGAGCCTCTTTACTATAATCCTGGCTTACTTAGTGGCCCGCACTGGACCGCAGTCTACCAGCCCCATTAGCAGGGCTGCCTCTCTCGTCTCCAGGACAGTCAGCACCGTAGGCACGGCAGACACGGCACCCCGTGTTTCCTCTCCGCCCTAACGTACCTTCTTATCTTTCTCAGACCCATCCGTGAGGAGGATTCCTTTGGCCTGCATGTGGCGATACAGAATCTTCTGGAGCGCCGACATGTCACACTTGATCACATACTCCACCTGCAAGGAGAGAAGAGGGAGGTCAGAGCGGGACAAGGAGCTGACCACGCTAGGAAGCTGGCCACGCCGCTGGCTCTCCCCCCGTGGAAGACGAGCCCTGGTGGGAGCAGGGGGCCGCCTTTCCTCGGATTCCTGGAATCGAGAAGACTAGAGACACCATCTGTCCAGTCATCTGTCCACCTGTCCTGTACCAGGGGGACTCTGTGTTGCTGTGACTTTGAAGTTATGCGCCTGGAGTTTAAAATGCCAGGAGGGTCACACACGGAGGACAGGTCTCAGGAGGGCTTTCAGACCAAGACAAACCAGGAAGCAAAGCTTGGTGACCTGCTTCCAAAAATCAGCAAAGGGCCACCTGACAGATGTCAAGAGAACAAAGTTCCATCAGCTTGCCTTGCGCACATCTTTAGAGGGTCAGCCACCAGGGGAGGCTGTCAGGTTTGGGGGGCATGGACATCTACAAAGGGTGAGGGAGACTCTCAATGAGCTGACGGGCCCCGTGGCCACATGGTCAACTCAACATGGCGGTCTTCATGAGGCTGAGACAAGACTGAATAACATTTCATTCTGTTGGGTGTAGGGTCACCATGAGCCAGTCAGTTCAGTGGCATCTATTAAGGGTCCCACTATCTCTACAAGACGGGTGACTGAGGCCAGGGCCATGTTCTCAGAAGTTTCTTGACTTGGTTCCTATTTGACCAAATCTGGTTTCCAAGTAGTTCAAAGATGTTCAACACACGAGGGTCCCAGGGCCTCCTCTGCTTCTCAACCTCCTTTTTAATAAATGGGAAGGTTTTTAGGAAAAACCAATGACTGGTCAATACACTGTGATTCACTCTGGGAATCTATTTTAAGATGGCTTTACAAAGCTCTGCTGTTCATAGGGTTTTCTGAGGCCTGCCTGCGATTTCAGAAGTCTGGCTGGAAGAGGCTGTTCCTTGGAGAGGAACGCCAAGCTTGGAATCGTGGAGGGATGGCGAGAGAGAGGAAGGCAGCCCTCCATCGGTGAACCGACACTGTGACTGCCGCAATGGGCCCGAGTGTCCCGGAAACGGTGAGGACGGCACAGGACAGGACTCACCTCTGTTGTTCAGAGGGTCGCGATGAGTCACTCGATGGCACCTGACAATCACAATAACAACAGGCTGCGCCTACTCTCCCCAGCACTAACGTGAGTCCTACAGGAGATTGCTGAGAGCTCTGGGGTGGCCAGCAGTGGCCCCTGCTTCAGAGACTTAAGACCTGGCACAGACCAAACTGTGTCCCAGCAAAATACACCGTGGAATGATAGGATGTGGAAAGCCTCCAGGATCCGATAAACCGTACAGGTGCACGAGGATTAGGGCGGGATGTAACGCTCCCGAACCCAATCCCACCACAGCCCTGCCTGGATACAAAGGGGGTTCTCTAGGGTGTGGCCTATAATAATACCTTTTATTTTATTTTATTTTATTTTATTTTATAGAATTGGGTAGGCTGGAGGGGCGCTCCATATCACCAAGGCATAAGAGCCAAGATTCTAGTGTGTCTTTTTGGACCGTGATCTCTGCTCAGTGAGGCTCTTAGACACCAGGGAATGCCGGACACATGGAGGTCTCCAGGGAATGCTGGACACATGGAGGTCTCCAGGGAAAGCGGGACACATGGAAGTCCCCAGGGAACGCTGGACACATGGCGGACTCCCGGGAATGCTGGAGGGCTCCAGGGAATGCAAGGAGGTCTCCAGGAAATGCTGGACACATGGAGGGTTCCAGGGAACACCAGGTCTGCAGATGCTGAATAAAACAAGGGCTTTCTCCCGGCACCGACAGAGCTCGGGGGTCTTCCCTGTCTTCCTCTCTTGGTGGTACCGGTGGGTTCTAATCGGCCTGTGCTATGACTTTAGGGTTGACAACACAACTCCCTACAATCTCTGCCAGCAAAGAACCCTGATGGGCTTAAAGCAATCCTGGATGGTAGACAACCACCCCCAGGCTCTGAGGGTTCGAATCTCTTTGTGGAAGCAGACCACCAGCCACAGCTTTCTTCTCATAAGGGGTTGGCTGTGGTTCAGACCACCCACCTCACACAGTGTGGATCAGACCACCCACCTCACAGTGTGGATCAGACCACCCACCTCACAGTGTGGATCAGACCACCCACCTCACAGTGTGGATCAGACCACCCACCTCACA